CTATCATGAATATCATAATAATACTAGTACTAATATTTATAAAATAACGGGCAGGTCTTGAAATAATATAGATAGTAATCATCGTTTTTCAATGTAATTTTTTGGATTACAAAATAATATGTTAACTCATTAATGAGTATTTAAAATGTTATCTGAAAATTTCACAGTGTCCTTAAAATGTTCACTTTACCAGTTTACCAGCTGTATATAATAATATTATACATTTAGTGTAAGAGGTGCGTATATGTATATAGCAGCAGAGGCACATCGCGAGCACCATTGTTTGCACCGAACAGTTTTTTTTTATCGGTAGTATTAAAAAAAAATCATTCCCTCTCTTCTACCACAGACTTTTCCCGTGATTTCGCTCGGGTATTGAATAAAGTGGGTAATATTTTTCCATATATAGTTTATTTATTTGCTTCCCCGCCGCCACTCATCCACCGTCGACTGCTCCGGGCAATAAAAACCAACCACCATAGTATTTTTATTTTTTTATTTTAGTCAGTTAAGAATTGAGAACACGTAACCGCTGCTACCGCTTTTGGGGTTATAATGGTGTGGGACGTGGTGGCAGGGTGGAAGTACCCAAAAGGCAGTTTGTTCTCATTAAACTTTCTCTCCTCCCGTGGCCCTTCCGTTCTAAGTTTCAAAAACAGTTTATGCTCATGTTCTCCTTCTCTATATCTTCCCATCTCTCTTTCTCGCTCTCTCTCTCTCTCTCTCTCTATATATATCTCTGTTTCTCGCTATTCTCTCTCTTTTTATATAAAACTAACGCACAGACAAATATATACATGTATATATATACTTTCGCTTGCATGAAATTGCTTTTTTCTGCCCTCTACCCCCTCCGGCTGTATAAATATTATACGCGCAGCCTGTACACATATTTTTATTTATTGCCCCGTTTACACGAGAGGTCTATACTGAAAAAACTGCGATTCCATCCACTTTCAACTTATCACGGAAAAACCTCAACTCAAATCTAAATAAATGACGAAATAAAACGGATATTTATGTGCACAAAGGTGTTTATTATTGTGAAATGAGGAGATCAGCTTACGTGTAGTGCACATAAAACTTATGTCTCAAAGTGGATGAACAATGACTCTCAAAAATCGTTTTACTCTTAACTTCTTTATATAGTAGGTATTTACCATAACGTTAATTTAGTGTTCGCACTGTTCAAAAATGGTCCTAGAATATGAATATAATATAGGAACCCATACATGTATATCCATAAAAAATTAAAAATATTTACAATGTGATGCGGAATTGGAATTAAGATATCACTGATACATATATATATGTATATATTATAAATAGATACCTATTGAATTATGTTTAAATAAAATCTATAACCGCAATAAATATAATAACATAATATAATCAAAGGAAAAATTATGATCGTCGACATAATAAGTATATAGGGGCTCTTGTAATTTGAGCGAACATTGAGCAGGTAGTAAAAGTAAATTATAGTAAATTGTGCTCGGGGTTTTTAGGTTTCTTAAATGAGTATAGTGAATTGCACTCATAGTAAGTGCAGCCTTTGAAAACATAGATGTCTATTATACATATTTTGAATACTGTTGTTTATTTATTGGTGGATAAGCCGAACGTTTATCGCTTATAATTTTATGGATAAAATATTACAGTTACAATCTGGAATTCACATAAAAATTAATTGTTCTAATGAACCTTATAAATTTCGAAACACAAAATCAAAAAAAATCAAAAATGGAAAAAATATGATTCAACAATACAATGAAAATACAATTACGAGCAGGGCTGATGAAAATGATGTCTCATAAAGTCATAACTATGCTGATATATAAATTATATAATTGCATTGCTGTTAACTCTGTGTATGTATATATTATAATATACATATATGTATAATTTAGCTTATTATTATTTACTGCACCAATTAACCCCAACAAAAAATATTTAAAACAACTTATTAATCCTATATATTATTTAATTTTAAAAAAGAATTTCCATTTCTATTCATTTATTTATTTGATTCAAGCAAACTAAAAAATCATTTTTGAAGGGCAGTGGTAGTCGCTTAGGTACTCGTGGTGTCCTCTGGGTAATGCTAAATGATTATCATAAAAAAATATATTTCTATTGGGCGCAATTTACTACATAGTAGTTTGTACCTGCAAAAATACCATTCGCAATTTACCATTTTTTTCTTTCGTTGGGCCCAATTACGTTTGGGCCTATAAATGGGTATTAAATATCATTATAATAGTATTATGTATGTAGTAATAAATATAGTTATCATCCATACAAATATACAATGATTATAGGTATAATGGTTATTAAGATAAAAATAAATTCATATTTTTATCTATGTAGATCTATTATATAATATATATATATATTGAATACACCACGAGTTCTCACTGTTCTCAGTAATATAATAATAATAATACCAGCTATTATTTATTCATATCTCGTTATAAATTCAACTTTCAAGAACATACTATAATAGATTTCTATTATCAAAATATTATATTATACTAGCTGCCCGACCTTCCTCCGGAAGAAATTATTTTTTTATAATTTAATTTAAAAACATAAGACTATTTTTTGGCTGTACAAATAATACAACGATTATAAAATAAAATAAAAAAAGAAACAGACATCGTTATCGATGAATATATGAAAATAATTGGTAATTAGTTATAGTTATTATTATAATGAGGGTTCAAAACCGGTTTCCTTCGTCTCCAAAATCAAGTTAGATTCTTATATATATAGATTATAATTTATAAATATATATAGGTATTTTATAAGATATAAATTATACATATATATATATAAGTTATATACTATATTATACATAGTTATCACTTACCCTCATAATATTATAATAAAGTCGATAAAAAAATTAAATAGAGACTACATAAACGCGTGCGGGGAAGAATATATAAAAAGCTCTCGTTTTATATTAAGCATTAACACGACCAGCAACTTTGCAGACCGGAAAATTAACAACAAACTAAGCGCAAAAAAGAACACCACGGCTAGATTTGGTGCACGCGTGCACGAAAATAAAAAAATTATATTTTATATACAAATCAACTCACTCGGGTAAAACTTGAAAAAAAAACTTTTACGTTCTTATCATTTTTTTTTCACGTCCATTAATTCAACATAATTATACCGTATAACACTATAGCGTACACGACGCCTAATAAATAAAGCAATATAATACTTTTTTTAAGCTAATATATTATATTTAGGCGTGTAGGTATATAAATATATACATACTATAAATCACGGATTAATTATTCAGTGTTTGATACTTGAATATATACAGGCATATATATATATAACGCGTGACAACAATTATAAACATTTATAGACTTTATTTATACATATGCGTATACCCAGGTAGGTATATAGTATAATATAGGTACACACTTTTATATTATTTATTATGCAAATCTCAACGAAATCAATTTAAACAATTTTTCAACTAATGCATAATGTTATATATATACCTACCTATATTAAGTACAGGTACAAATTATATACCCATAGGATATATTTACTTTATTCATCTGTGAGCTTATATTATGTTCCGCGTAAATACATAAATAGTTACCGAAATATTATAATGACATGCATAAAGTATAGTTGTACCAACTTGCGAATTTATCATATATTTAAACATTAAACCTATGATATTTTGGAAAAAAGTTTAAGATATTTACATAATTAAGGTAGGTACATTTGTCATATTATAATATATTATTATTTATTCTCTTTTTTTTAAATTAAAAATCTATAGCCATGGACTTATATTTCACTTTTATTATTACACACATATATAGAGTGATGGACATATAATACATTTCTGCAGGCGCAGTCCGCCGAATCGAATATAATATATACACATCACAAACCTACATATATAACACACGAAAAATGATTCTAAAATATATTAAAAGGCACACAGACGATATACGTTTTACCTGCACTGTGTATATATAAATATTACATACATATGTGGTCATTTGCAATTATTATATTATATCGTGTAAATTACCATGACTGCAGATTAAAACGATCTCAAGACAGGTGATAGGTACACCACATAGCCATATTCGGGTACTTATTCGCATATGCTGTGACCAGCAAAACTTGTGTACGTAAGAGAGCATCAATAATATATATTTAAATACATACTTCCTATATATACATTTACAGGCAGGGATGACATAATTGAGATCGCGCAGTGATACTGCAATAATACATATATCCGTCTCAGTGGCTCGTTAAAGTTTCCCACGAAGGTGCGCATTTAATATAATAATATAATTTATAAGTATATATTGTACTCATCACGTAATAATAACATATAACAGTGTAAACTATTTATATATAATATAATATACCTATATACCCACATGATGTACCGACTTGTTGGGTACCCACTTATATGCGGTGTTGTGGGTTTTTAATATTTCGGCTCGTTTACCGAAAAGTACAAATTGAAGATAATTATTACACTATATAATAATAACAATATTATTATCGGCATCATCATCGTCGTCGTCGTCGCGGTCCCTTTGACGGCGGCGGCGGCGTGGTGCTATACATCGGGTAATAACCGACGCGTCGGCGGCCGCCCCGGCGTCCCGGGCGGCGGCGGTGGGCGTGTCTATCGGAGGCCACTCGAGGCGTGTGTGCGTCCGGAGCGAACGAATCAATGAACGGCGGCGTCGGTTGCCGCGTCGGCGGTGGGGGAACCGCTCGCCATCATTACCCGGCAATTTAGTCTGCGCGCACACACACACACACACACACACGCACGCACACGCGCACACACACGCGCGCGCGCGCTTGTAGCATTACGGGACATGGGGTTCGCGGTGCCCGTGGCGTCCGTCTGCGGCGGCGGCGGCGGCCGCGGTGGTGCGCGCGTGTATTGGGGCGGGGCGGGCCGGCGCGGAGGCACCGAAAAATAGGTGTTAACTATATTTAATAGCCGCGCCGATGCCGTACCGTGCGCTCGTCTGCAGTCGCGCCGCGCTTCGTCACAACCGTCCGGTCGCCGTCGCCGCGTAGTAGTCGTCGTCTGCCCAGTGTCGCCGTTGCCGTCGTATTCGTGTTCGTCGTCTCCGCGTCCGTGCGACTCTGCAGTGATTTTTATAATATTAGACATTTTACCATACACCGCCGTTACCGCCGTTTCGCGGTCCTTTGTTTCGTTGTTATTCTCGTACAAGTGTTATACAATCGTATTACCCGCGCAATGATGGTGTTGGACTCGGGACAAGCGTCCCCGTCGTTACGGCTGTACGCCGCGGCAGCCGCGGCCGCGGCCAACAGTTACGGAGGTGCGGCCGGCGCGACGTCCGGAGGCGCTGGCCAACAGGCCGGTGGCGGTACAGGAGGCGTCCAGATGCCGCCGCATCCTCTGTTCCCGCACTTTGCTGCCCGTTTCCCGCACGGCATGGCGTCCGCGGCCAGTTTCGCGGCCGCCGGCCTCTCGCCGTTCCTCCAGCAGCACCACGTCGAGCACGCGGCCGCTCAGCGATACGCGATCGCTGCAGCCGCGGCCGCGGCCGCAGCAAGGAACAACACTGTCGCCGGCCACGTTATGTCCGCGGCAGTGCATCAACACCAGCAACAGCAACAGCAACAACAACACCACCAACACCTCCACCACCGGCCCAACTCGGAACCCGCGGGCAAGAAACGGCCGCACCACCAGCAACAGCAGCAACAGCAGCAGCAGCAGCAGCACCAATTACTGCTGCAACAGCAACAGCAGCAGCAGCAACAACAACAGCTTCAGCAGCAGCAACAGCACAGGATTATTAATATGTCGGGAAATCATAGTGATGACAGTGCCTCCGAAAACGGATCGCCCAAGAAAGGTTAGTTGTTTTATATAATTAATTATTATCATTACGTATTATAATCATTATAGGTGTAATATTAGGTATATACTTGCAACAAGCACAAAAAAACCAAAAAAATTGTTGTAGGGAGGTACCTATATAATACCAGCTATGTCCTATACTATATAATTTGTAAAGAAGCATTTCTACCGAGCCCATTCCTCAATGGTTCACCAATTTTGTATCATTGGTGTGCGTATATCATACGTATACCTATAGTTTTAAATAGATGTTTTGATAACACTTGACCAATTGTACAATTATAATAAACCGAGTAACCGATAGATAAATACTCCAGTAGAGAATCGGTATAAAATTGAAAACAAAAATATGTACCTATACGTATATTGGATTTATTTATATCAGGATGGTTATAACTTAACTTTAAGCTGCGAATCGCACGTACGAAGCAATATTATATGACGGCAGGGTAGGTACCTGAATTTATTAGGTTTAATGGATTCGATTATTATTTGATGAGTGTAATACCTATAAAATATGTCTTATGATATTTATGATTTAATATTTATTAAAAACATATCATTATTAAATTAGAACTATTCTAATAATGTTTACAAATCTTAAAAATCAATTGGAATTCCAGTAATTTAAATAAATTATTAGCGTGTAAAATTGAAAATATAATAGCTAGCTATTATAATATGCCTATATCCTCACGAAAAATGCTTTAATTCAACCCGTTCGCGTGATTATTAACACAAAACGATATTACATAATAATATGCACATCGATTTAAATAGCAAGTAACCCTAGTAACAGTATAGAACTAGATGAGCAATTATCCCTGTATGAAATTGATAATGAATAACTTGTAAGTTCGTATATAATAGACATAATTGCAGTCACACCTTTAGGTTTATTTTAAGAGCATTCCAATTTCATGAGGAAATATCTAGGTACCTATGTAATACTCGTACATATAGTCAACCCTATTATTTCAAAACGCACAGTCAAATATAAATGAAAATAAACTCATTATATTTTACACGAATCAGAATGAGGTACTTACTTCAATTTCAGGAGATACCTACATGGAAGCGCATTTACTATACAGAATGTATTGAATTGAATTTTAATAGTTTTATGATTTTGAATGAGTACCTACTTACACACATATAGTATACTTAAATCTGAATCGCATGGTACTTAGTTATGAGGGAGGACTTATACTGCAGTTGCTTCTTTTTTGTGATATATAAGTTCTGAAGCTACGGGTGCATTGATATCGGGAAAACTTTTAAGGTTTTAATATATTATATGTTATCTATATATACATATTTTTTTGATGTTCTAAACAAAAATCTAATGGTATAATGTACTATTATATAGTTGGTTGGCATTAATAGTTGATTTATACAGGGTTCTTATGTACCTATATAATATACATATATAAAGCAATATAGATAGGTTTATATATTTTACCGATATAACATTATATATGTTCGAATTCGATTAGGTACCTATACACTTATCTATGTATATTATGTATATGAGTCTTTTTTTTTTTAAAAAAAAGCACAATTTTTATGTACAATTATAACGATAAATACGAAAATCGCGTGACGATAAATATCCGAAAATAAAAAGGGGCAGTTATATAAGTGTGCATCATGTGATCGTTTATACTATTATGTGGAGGTACCTATATCATTTGACCGTGGGAACCCTACACGACCGGAAGGGTGCTCCCTTGTAAGACAGGTGTGCAAAATATAGGTAGGTAGTTATGTCCAAATCCTGCAATTTTAAATACTCATAGATTTGTTTTAACACTGTTATTATATAGGTAGGTACATCGTTTAGTGCGAAGGTTAAAGTCTGCCAAATAATTGTTGATTTACTATCTACCATGTATATATACATAATAAATAGCCCCATGTACCTAGGTATACATCAGTATACATATACCTATATATTTTATTTTATTAATGGTTATCTTGACAATTTAATCTTCATAAAATCACCACAATAATATATCTGCAGTAATTAATATAAGTACATATTTTTTTGTGTAAACATTCGATATTTGGTTTTTTTATATATGGGATAAAATGCTTAAATAACAAACAAAAATATTTATCAAGTTCTGTTACATGAAATTTAATTTTAATAATATCAACATTATTATTCATATAATCATTTTTTTTTTTTAGTAAAATCTGTTACTTAATTTCGTTGCAAATGTGATCATTACAACCTTGTTATAATTATATACATATATAGGTACCTATGCGACAAAGTTATTCATAAATTTGTATCTATAATTACTATAGGTATAACCTACTTAAATTTTAATCATCGCCAAATAATAATTATGATAAAATTAAAATATTAACATACTTATATCGTTTAAAAAATAATTATAAATTTAAAAACTATATTCTATGTTATAAATTATATACATTTTTTTTTTTGATGTTTTGGGAGCATAGGTATTTATTTTTGTAAAATTATCTACAAAAATGTAGGTACATTTTGTTATGAATTGCACAAAATATTTTCACTTAGGTACAAAAGAAATACTATTTGATCTCTCTTTCCACGTATTTTAATAATCAAAAGTAGGCATAAAACAATAATAATAGTTATATAGTTCAAATCAGTGGAAATAAAAACAATCAAAACATTTCATTACAGTAATGATTATAGGTACTAAAATAATAAACCAAAATCATAATAAAATTAAAAAAGAAACTATTATGCCTTACAAATTCGACAACTCATAATTATTATTTTTTTTACGACTTATATATATGATCAAATAAGTTTATTATATCATTAATTTTAATATGATGTTATAATCAGTATATGTATAGGTATATATAGCGTGGTATAGCGGTGTAACCTTATTTACGTGATGCCTTATTATTATTTGTTTCATTCGAATATTTATCTTCCATTATAGCGGATTAAAAATTAACCAAATAACATTAATATTACCTTATCAATTAACTAACAAATAATACACGGATATGGCTATATAATTACTCAACTATAAATGTTAATATTGTTTTACTCTTGTTATATTTGGTAATTGACAATTAACTATCATAACCGTTCGCTATAATATAAACGAACGGTGAAATAATTAACAGATAAAAATGTTCAACTATACATAATATTATAATGTGAACCTTTGCTGTGTTATCGAACGTGTAATTTTTCCTTTTTTAATACCGTATGCATAGGTACCAAAATCAAATAAATATAATTAATATTTATTACATGCTATTATATGTGTATAGAAATTATATAAAGGAAATAATAATTTTCTACTTTAATAGCTATTATGTTATATTGTTATTGCTCTAAAATCTAAATTGATTTTAAACATTTCAGTTTTATCTTTTTTATGAGGTTCAATTAGAAAAAATTTGATTGTATATAGCAGTATTTACGGGTATATGTTTAATATCCTTATGTGTGTGTATAAGAAACTATAAGTCTGAACCAGTACGTTTTTATTGATTCATCAAATTACTATAATCTAAAAAAAAAAAAAATAATGTAAATCCTTCGTTTTTTTATTATATAATTTACACGGACCAATTGATTTCTAAATGTGTTTGCCTTGGATATAATATAGTCTCTGGAGGCTCATAATGATAGTATAACGCGCTCATTGTACATATATATAGGCAACGCTGCAATGGGCATTAATGTATTATATATACATATTATGTCTATGTATATATATATATATATATATATAGCCACGTCGTAGGTATTTATTATATTTATAGGTAGGTATACCGTAGGGTCTAGGGCACTATATATACATAAACACGAGTGCTCAAATCTATGCGTATAGGCCCAAAGAACACGATGGTCATCATATCATAGATATATAGGTATTATGTTAAACACTTACCAACTGCAGCGGTCGAGGGTAAATAACCTCTAATAAAATATATATGGCACAATTCATCCAGATCGGCGGATTAAACGCTACACGCGTATAATATATTATGATATGTACGCCGCTTGCACCTATATATGTAACCGGTCATTATACTATAATATTATATGCACACATAATATATATACTTATTATATATTAATAAAAAAAATAAAACCCCCTTTATATGTATATGATGTACACTTGCCTACATGTATTATATAGTTTAGTTAAACGTATATATATATATATACACATCTCGGGTTTACCTATATCATTATATACTTATATATATATATATATATATATACATAGAACTGCATAGTTTAATAGCTACATAGTACTGTATATTGTATGTGTACAATAACGTGTTGGGAGATTTAAGAGTTAATAATGTTAACCGTTTTTCGTGCGGCAGCTATTAAACACAATTATTATTATCGTTATGACGATATGCTATATAATACCCATTTTGCCCACGATTGTACACACCTATGATATATATATATATATATTGGCACTCATCCGTATGGTGTTAATCCTTAAAATAGGTGCACACACATTCGCGTGCGGTCAAGTGCGAAGCCAGGATTTTTAGGGGCGTTAAATGTAACAAGGGGGGTACATTTAAAATTGTAGTCGCACATCAATCTTCATATTTAGCAACGTAGAAATCAATATGAAATAGAACCATAATAGTTTATGACAACTGCATATTTCGTAGGCACCGGAATCATGTGGATGTGAACAGCGTACACACTATATTTTTCGATAAAAAAAAATATGGAGGGGGTGTTCGACGGTAATAACCCCCGTGATAACATATAGATTTCATGACGAGTAATAATTATATTTCATCGATTTATCTCTCAAATATATAGGTGATTATAACGCAGCAGTTGACTATATATATATCATTGCACATTGATGAATAAGGATCGTGCTTACCTTTTTATATATACCTATGTATACGGACTTTCACGAATATTCGAGACTAAATATTTACGAGTATAATATAAATGAAGGATAATTATGAGAACAGATATAATTATTATAT